TATATATTTAAAAGAAGTTGGCAAAAGCAACATCAACTGTAGTACATCCTTTCTCGCCATTCAAACAATTATTATTTCAATGACAGGATCTCTTCTTATAATACTCTGTATCATAGCGAATTCAGGATTGAATTTTTGTGAGAAGACTTCAGCCCAAATGCTCATTTTATATTTATAACAATAATTTCTCTGTAAGAAAAAGAAAGAAACTAACTACCTATATAAAATGATGCTAAGTGATTCTTGTAATGTAATTATGAAATTGAGAAAATGTATAATAATTATGATAATGTAATTGTGATATGTTAATGTAATTAAACAAACAATAAAACTTTTAGAGATTTTTTCTTCAGAAAACATGGTTATATTTGGTTGCCATACATGCACTATAATTTAAAAAAATAGAATATATTGTGAAGAGAAGGATGATTGGGGCGATCAGTCAAAATAAAAATTACAAAAATAAATAATAATATAATATAAATAATATATAATATAATAATAATATGATTATTTATTTTTGCCATTTTTATTTTGACTGCTCACCCCAACCATCCTTCTCTTCATTATTCGCTACAGTCAACCATCAACCCACAATTAAGAATATATTGTGATTGTTAAAGAATTTAGCTTTGATAACTTTCAGCGACAGATATGTATGTATCAATTTTTTTTTTTTTCATTTTGTGTGCTTCAGCCCCTTCTTAGTACTTTGCATAGTGATAATACATTCTGGTTTATGCACCTTTATTGTTACAATTCAACCACATTTGATTATTGTACACTATGCTTAAAAAGACTTATCTTTTAATGTGTATATTCTATTCTTTGGCCTGGTTTGAATCAGCCCTCTCTCAGTATAGAAATCTTGTAATCACTATGATGATTCTTATCTGGTTTGTACGGTAGATGCTAAATATTCGTTCTGTCAAAGACTATATTCATTCGGCATGTATACAAGAACCTTAAAAGTTTCAGTATGAAAACTGAAATACTGCTGGTATACACTGTAAGTTAGAGATAAGTTAGATAGTAGAGAGTAAAGAAACAAACTTCCTTTAAATACCATGTAACAAAGGGTGGCTGGTATACTAATGGTATTTCTGGTATTAAATACACCATTCCTTATTAAATTATATAAGGAAGTTTGTCGACTGTTCTACACATCAGATGATGACCCTCAAGCTTGGATTGAACCATTGGCAATAAAGATCTTAAAACTGACTGTGTCCTGACTATCTATCAACCATTCCTTATTAATGTTGGTTCTGTTGAAATTGATTGATCATTCAATGACAATACAACCTTGTATTTTCAAATGCTTCAATTTTACACCCGAATAGAGCATTGATCACCGAAAGGTCTTCAATTCCAATTCAAGGTAGTAGCTTAGTATTATTAACTTCTCAATAAAAATATAACCCTTTAATTGCTTGAATTATTTTTATGAAAACATAAATATTAGAATTATGATAAAAATATAAAAACGTAACAAACTATAGTTTAACGAGAGTTTAAAGAGTTTGTGAAGCAGAAAACAAAAATTGCCCCAACTTAATATTCAGCTAAATTCCGAAAGTTGATCATCTGATAAAAAAAATATCAATTCCCATCATTTAGATCTGTATATAAATGCACTGTGAAGGAGATGAGTTTTAAAAATCCATTTTTTGAAAGTGCAAAGTTTTCTTCTTTTTTTTTTTTAAGTGTATTCTAGTGAGTGGTTTATTACAATACAGCCAGGTCATGGCAAAAAAAATGACACTTTGATAATTTATTATAATTATTTTTGCTGAACATACTGGCGTACTGAGAGCATAAAATTTCAAATCATATAAATCCAATGCGAATCTCAGTTTGTTCTAAACAGTCTCAACTTAATTAATATGACCTACAACTTATTAAACATGTAAGTTTTTCTAAAAGTGGTACATTTGTAGTTTAGTAGAAGCATAATCGAAAATTTTGGATAATTAATCAAGTCATAAAAACCAAAAATTAGTGCAATGTAGCAATTTGAAAAGCTAACATAAAAAAGTGTGAATAAGTAAAATTGTAGTGGTATTTGAAATAATTTTTTTTTTTTTTTGCTAAAGTGTATTACGTTAACAACTGCATTAAATATTTTTTTCTATTTATCGCTTCCTATTCAACCAAAAACGTAAAAAAAAAATTACACTTTAACAAACTTTAATTTCCTGCTTTTCTGAGGAGGATGGGACTGTAGTCTATATGAACTTTTAATAGCTGTTGGGGTATGTTATAACCTCCATAAATCTTTCCTGTTAGTAACTGAATAAGACATTTAAATAACTATTAAAAGCACTAGTGGGTCCAGGGGAGGAGCACAGGGAGCATGCTCCTCTCCTCCCTCCCTCCTCAAGTTGAGAGGTATCTTTAAAAAAAAATAAATAAACAATCAGCACATTTATTATTATTTTAATTAAAAATGGATTTTATTAAAGAAATAATTTTTAAAAATTTGATAATTTACCAATAAAAATTCTTCATTCATTAGCGAAATGGCTTAATAATGTGGGTGAAAGCAGTAGCTAGAGTGGTCTAGAGTGGCCCTTTGAAACTATTTTTAATTGAATTTGTGAAAAAAATAAGTAAAAATGTCATTTGAGGAATTTTGATGGCTATTTTATTTCAAAATACTAAACGAACTAAAATACACGTTTCAGTTCATATCAATATATATCACAGGCGGATTTACAGGGGGGGCTTTCGGGCTGAAGCTCCCCCTCCCCCAAAATGGTAAAATATAACCATGTTTTATAGAAAAAAATATTAAAAACTATCTCTTAAAGTATTATTGTTCGTGTAATTACATTTAATAGGACTTCAAGAATCACTTAAACACCATTTCATATAGGTATTTCATTTCTTTATTCTTTTTTTTTCAAATTGATTATCGTTACATATATGAAAAAAAATCTTTCGGGCTGAAGCCCCCTCCAAAATTAAATCCTGGATCCGCTAGTGATATATATACACCTTTGGTGTATGGAATTCACCTGTTTCACAAGTGCGCCCCCTTCTCCCTACAAAACATTCCTAGAACCGACACCGATTTAAGTTCTTATACAAACACTTTAGATTGCTTGATTAAAAAATAGTTTTCTGTGAATACATAATCATAAATACAAAAATATAATATTTATATTTTACTAGAATTACTTTTGTCAATTTTTCACAAGCGGATACTATCATACTACTATCACTTTAAAAAAACGTCTGCCAAGTAAGATCAGTATACCTTCCTCTCCGTTTCCGTTGTATATTACAAGGAATACAATTTTTCGTATGAGAGTAAAATCTCTGAGAGAAGCAGAATCGGAATAGCCGATTACAGTTTCCCTTCAACATTCAACAAAAGAGTGCCGTATTTGAAAATTCCATACTTGATTATGCTTAATAAAAAAAAAATTCATACTGAACATGAATTTCAATACTGTTAGTGCAAAAGGTCTTACGTAAAAATTTATTTATTGTTTATAAGAGTGCATAAAAACTCATTATTTCTTTATGCTTTATTAGAATAATTTCATATTTTATTGTCATCTGCTATTTTCCATAGTAGCAGACTACTTATAATAAAATTTTTAATACGAACTTTTGCTTTAATAATAGTGATATACACTACCGGATTCAGATTTAATTTTGGCGGAGGGGCTTCAGCCCGAAAGATTTATATATATATATATATATATATATATATATATATATATATATATATATATCGATAATTACTTAGAAAAAAATCCACGGCAAATTATTTCACTATGGTATATTATTTCTAAACAATTATACATATAAAGTAACATTAAATTTCTAGTTATAAAGAAAAATAAATAAAAGTTGATTCCAATTATTGGACTAAACTTTTTTTTAATCATTAGTAATATGCTAAAAAATAGCATTACTTCAGTAACACATTTAAAAATAAAAACAAAAGATAAACCTTTTGCAATAGCACATCTAAAAAAAAACTAGAGACCATATCTTTGCTCCTAATTGTCCAATTTTAACGATTTTGTTTTTGTTTTTTTTAGGAAATTTAACAAACTTTTAATAAACCATATACAATATTCACAAAAATGTGTATACTTCTTGAGTTGTTCGGAATTTAATTTTACCATCCCTCGTAACTTTTTTTTGAACTTCTTTTCGTTGAAGTATGTTATATAAATAAATTTAAAGGGCGTAGAGAAAATGACTATGGCGAAGTTTCAATAAAATCGGTACATTCGTTTAGGCGCTACAGTCTATAGCAACGCAGGTTTTTCGGCCGCCATTTTGAAACAAGAAGGCGAATAGTAATGTCGTTGAAGGAGGATCATCCTCTGACCTCTGATTTTATATCCAAATTCGAAGAAAATCGGTCCGGTAGTTTCGGAAAAAATGCGCGGACGGCGGACAGCGGACTAGTAGTGCATATATAGGAGAAAGTGGTGGACAGAATTCAATAAAATTGACACTACGTTATTTTTTCACCAAATTCTACCTTTTATCTAACTTTGAGCCAAATCAAACGAGCCCTTTCTGAAATATTGGCATATCTAAAAATATACGTTTGCGCGTGCGTAAGCGGAAGTGCTCGATGGAATTTGATAAAATTGATAAGGGACCATCTAGGCACCAATCAGCATAATCCCTGAAAATTTAATGAAGATAGGATGAACTGTACTAGGCGATATGCCCGTCACATCGATTTGACTAGCGGCAGACAGACAGACAGACACCGAACCAAATTTGATCCTTGATGTCTGAAACGTAAAACGCGAGTGAAAATTTTCGAATCTGAGCAAAAAAATTTTTTTAATCTCTCGCAAGAACACAATGCATCCCTCCCTACCTTCGGTAGTGAGGAAGCAATACACGGCTCTAACACCACTTTGTGGTTGTTAGTTCATATTTTTAACACTAGGGTGTAGTAATTCTGATTTCTTGGTTACAAACATTTGAGGTTATAAAGGTTGACGTATCTTATTGAACACTTGATCACGTGGCTTACCCGTGAAAATTGCTGATTATTTCATAATTATGTTAACTAAATTTTAATTACTAATTTTTGAATCAACAAAATAATTCATCATGCAGTCCTCCCGAATGGTAAGATCTGAAGGTGATCTGTTACCAAATAATCTAGAATTATATGCTTTTAAACCTTTTGTTCATGAAATCTTGAGGACAGACAGTATACTACCCCATGCAAGAAGTGGACATCGAGTTGCATGTGATGATGACAACCTTTATGTATATGGTGGTTACAATCCTAATATTGTGGATCCAGAAGCTGAAGGAGCTCAAAATGGTAATGAAGGATGTTTGTTTAGAGAAGTGTTAAAATTTAATTTTGCTTCAATGATGTGGAAAAAGTTAAACATTAAAGATATACCTTATAATCTTGCATCAGTTGCTCTCATTATGTCAGGGAAGGTTTTGATGGTGTATGGAGGTACTGGAGTGCCCTTTCACTCCGAGAAAAGCAATGTATTGTATGTATGTAATTTAGGGGAACAAGAACCACAGTTCAGAAAAATTACAACCACCGGAAAAGTTCCAGCAGAGCTTTATGGCCAAGCAATGTTCTTTAGAGACAACCATATTTATGTGGTAGGTGGTACAACAGGTTATGACTATTTTTTGGATGTTCACAGATTAAATCTCACAACTAATGTATGGGAGGAAGTGTACATCTGTAAAGGTTTAAAAGGTGAACCAAGTGGTAGATATAGGCATGAAATTGCTGTAGTAGGCAATAAAGTATATATTTTGGGAGGAGGAAGAAGCAATGAGGGTGTTAAATTAGAAGAAATTCCAGTTTTCGACCTTGATGAAAAAGTTTGGGAAATAGCCAGGTCTATTAAAGATGAAATCCATGGTTACCCTGCACAAAGGCAATTTCACAGTACTGCTAGAATTCCTGGTACAAACAGCTTCATTTTAATTGGTGGTGTTCATGGATCTGAAAAGATATATGATGATTGTTGGAGGTTGGACATTTCATCACTTTCATGGAAGAAAATTTCTTCTCTTCAGTTGTGTATTCCTGTATTTTTTCATGGGACTGGTGTCACATCCTCAGGTAGAATGGCCTCATTTGGAGGTGTTGTTAAAAAAGGTAGATCTCAGCGCAGAGTTGCAATAATTCAAAGTGCATGGATTTGTATTCCTAAATTGAAGGACATTTCATGGGAAGCTGTGGTACATTATGGTTTCACTCAAGCTTTGACATCTATTCATTTCCAACAGCTTCGTTTGCCTAGTGAATACTATAACAAACTCTTATAGTTTACTGTGAATAATGTGTACAGTTATATCTTAACAATTAGTGTAATTTTGATATCCAGACCAAGCTACTGCAGGAATTAAAATCATGAGATTCATCGCTGTACTCTGCTTTTACTAAAAGATTCACGGTACCACTGTAAAAGTGCCACTCCCTTAAATGAGTGGGCCAAGATTCCATGATCATGGTACAAATGAGATACCTAGAATTGATAATATATTCACTTTATTTAGATCCCAATTTACAACTGCAGCAAACTTCCTACTGTTCATTTTCAGTTAAAATAAGTGCAGTATAGCTTTAATCACATTAATGATTTGGACTAACTCTTATTGAAAAGAGATATTCCAATCCCCAACTGGTCCTTTTTACTTGATTTAAAAGCTTAACATTGAGTCTACTTTCCGACACATTTGGCCATTATCAAGATTCCATGGTATGATCATGAGTGCTTTTGCCACCCATACAAGCGGAATGCCATTTGCACAGTAGTACCAAATTTAGTGTAAAGTTTTTATTAGTTTATTAAGCCAGTAATTATTTGTTTTATTTTGGAGACTGAAAGAGTACATACAGATTGTCCTGTAATATTTAAAGGGACAGTAGCAGACTTCAAGAGCTATAAAAAAAGTTTATATAAATCATAGTCTGATTTTCCACAGAAAAGCAGTAAATTTAGTAAATCAATTTTTCATTGAATATGAACAAAAATTGTTGATTCGCCATTACTAAAAATATGAATAATTTAGGAAATTGGTTAATAGGAATAATAGGTTCCTAGTAAATAGACAAAATTAACTTCAAAAGCACTTAGAGTTAGTGTTTGTCAAAACCATATAAAAGGGGATCATAAGTGGCTAAACAATGCTAAATTCTATTTTTCATAAAATCATGGATTATTCGCAATTTCTTAAATCACAGTCAAACTGACTTACAGATACTCCTTTTTTGTAAAAACTTTCTTGTTTAATAAACTTCAAGCTTATATTAATTAAGTGAAGGTTTGTTTCAGAGTTAGTTGAGATTCAAAAATAAAATAAATCTCATCAAACCATGTTTATCCTCTGTCGTAAACCTGTGACTTCCTGTTCCACTGTATCTTTCAATAATATTCTACTTATTCCTGTTGAACAAAGCCGCTACCTAGGACTCTACTTGGATAAATGTCTTACTTGGAATCCGCATACTAGACTGAAATGACAAGAAATTGCTTGACGCTTCCAACTGCTCCAACACTTACTAGACAAACGCTCATAACTTTCAATTAATTATAAAAGACTCGTCTACATTAGTATAATAAGATCTATATGGACATACGGAGTTTAGCTTTAGGGCTCCAGCAAACCATCAAATTCTTATCGTATCCAATCCTTAAAATACAAAATCATAAAAGCCCTGTATTTCGTCGAATAAAACCATTCATAAAGACCTTAATGTTTCATGTTGCTGATTTAGCCCGAGCCAGATATCTATCCCTTCACAATAAACTCCAGTGCCATCCAAATCCACTTGGTTCCAGCAATGCTTCTCCCTAGATTCCTGATAATCCTCCTAAAAAAATATGGCCTCATGATCTTGCCTCGAATTATTATTAGAGAGTGCTACCACGGGGTAGAATCTCTTCAAGTCTGTTCATGTGATTATTTCTAATTTGAGCATATTTAATGGTTGTATTTGTATACAGTTGTAATTTTCATTAAAATAACAAACAAAAGTTGAGATTCACCTCCAGTTGTGTAAAAATGTGATGTGATTTGATATTCTGTCAATCGGAGAACCTTTTTTATAAACAATATATTATTACAATGCTTTGATTTTCTGTTACCTGAAATGTATTATAATAAATTAATTACAAAAATTGCATCCTGTATTGAGTAAAAAGTACTGCCTTTTTAATCTAAAATGGTAATGACAGTTTTTTTTTTTACACTGATTACGTTTCTCTATGGGAATTGATGCCATCAACTAAATTTTCCTAATCCTAATTTATAGGCCAGCTTGACCATGATTTAAAAAATTACAAATAATCCACAATTTTATGAAAAAATATAATTTAATATTGTTTAGCCACTTACAATTCCCCTTTGAATGGTTTTAACAAACACAAGATCTGTTTGCATTGAAAGGAAATCTTGTTAAGTTTACTATGAACAAATTTTTAATCAACTAAATTAAACATCTTAATAGTAATTGCTTTCTATTCAATGAAAAATATAACTTAATTTAAAAAAGCAACTCTTAATTTACTGCTTTTCTGCAGAACATTGGGCTATTTATATTATAAGTTAGTATAAACTTTTTTTGTAGCTATAAGTAAACTATTACCCTTTTAAATATTTCCCCATACTCAGGGGACACCCTGTATAAATATATAAACATATGATATATGTTGGAACTCTAGCCTTTTATCTTAAACAATTGTCTAAAAGAATTTATTAATATTAATTTACTATAGTAATTTAATTATTAATTGTCCCATTCATTTAAATTAAAGATATTTATTGTCTTATATAAATAATTATGATTTAAATCTTGATTGTAAATTATGAAAATTCATTTATGAGAACAAATTATTCTCCAGAAACTACCATGAATTTGTAATGCAAATGTCTGACACAATTTCATTACTAGTTATTTTAAAAATTTTATTTGATTACTAATTGTGTTAATTTGTAAGACTGAAATACCAGCAGATTTTAATAAAATAAATCATTAGACCTGGTAATAATATTGTATACCTCTAAATATGTTTGAAACTGATATTTTAAATCCATAATTTGATAGATAAAATTATGTTTTAACATTTTTATAACCTAATTATTTTCTCATCATCTTATATTAGTAACGTTAGAAGCCACTATTCTTAGAAACTATAATGGTATATCATTATTATTCATAATACTTTTAGTAATATTTTATTTGAAATTTTTATAATATTAAGTAAATAAGGACTTCTGTATTAAAATTAGATTTAAATAAATTATATTTTTCATAATATCGTTTATTTTCAATTAACATTTTTCCCAAACCTAGTTTTGAAATTCCTAAAAAAATATTGGTATTACCAGTTCAATATCTGTTTTAGAACAAACATAATGATAAATCTGTGATTATAATAATTCGAAATTCAAGTCAGCACATAAAATAATGATTTGTTGTTGTATTTTTATAATTCTGCACAGTAAATTTATGTAATTAACTTTTGCTATCTATTATTAATGCAAAATGAAAAACAGATTTATCCACAAATGTAATTTGAGAAAAATATTTTGTATGAGTTAGATGTTGAATACAATCTTATAACTTATTTTATCAGTCAATCAGATCCATCCATAACCATCTCTAAATTTAAAAGCTAACAACTCTGAAGTAGTAAACTTTTTATGACCAAGAAAAACTGTATTGTTTGACTAATTTAAAGATCATTTGTATATTTCAACAAAACAGTTAAATTTAAATGAACCTGTTTCAGACTTATTTAATGGAGTTAGAAGGTTTAATTACAAAATATGTGGAGTTAAGAAATTTCACAATTGGTATTTGTCATGAAAATAAATGATATTTTTTTAACAATGTAATTTTTATGCTTTTGTTGTTATTAGGTTTAACAGGTACATTCAAATCTATGAAAATCAACAAAAGAAAAAATAAATAGACCATTTTAGATTCAGGAAGTTTTACTATTAGGTTGAATAATACTTCTATAATATAAATATAATAATAAATAACATTTTATCCAGCCATCAATGAAACGTTTTTCAAAGCATTTTTAAAACAATAATTTATTTGTCACATTTTAATAATCTCGAAATATTTGTATGTAATGTAAATGTACTTAAATTCCAGTGAAATTAATTTTACATGATGATCAACTGATATTTCTGCCAAAAAGAGGTGTTTCTCTATATACCAGTTTTTTTTAACTAAATCTACGCTTTAATATGAAAAAAAATATTACTAATCATAAGTTAATTATTATGGGTATTTATAAACTAAATTGGGGCCAAAGTGCATAGCTGATTGAGAGGAAACTTAAGTCAAAACAATAATTTATATATAATCAAGCATATTGCGATATTTAAGAAAAAATGTGGTTACGAAATTTTCTTTCTTTTCTTTTTATTACACGATTGTAATCAGGTAATAGAGTCATTTATATTTATAGTTCTATGATATCAAGTATAAAATTGGCATGGACATCAAGTTTTATTTTAGATAGTAATGATTGATTACGATTTTGCCCATCTCTGACTTCATCTCAAATTTATACATTATTATTGCATATGGTTAAAATAAAAATGAAATCACGTTTCTTGAAATTCTTCATCACCCTGATACGAATAATTTGGATAGTAATCCAAAAAGTTATAATAAATCAATAATTTAGTTTGTGATTTTAAAATTGGCAGTATTTCCATTAAAAGCACCTTTCATAAGTTCCAATAATGAAACTTAATATCAACAATATCACAAAATAAAAATAAAAAAAAGATCACATCATGAATTTTATATACTAGTAGACCTGTGCGAAAAATTCGCACAGCATATTGTTATCAAATGCCAAATTAATAAGAAAATAAAATAATGCAACGTATTAAAAGATAAAGAAATCAATTCTTACTTTATCGAAAATATAATTGACAAATGAAACAAAAATTAATTTAAATCTTCATTAATGTTTGGAACCAACATGTTTACAAATTTCAATAAGCTGTATATTTGCTAAAAATTGCCCGATTTCGATGATTTTTTTTTTCCTTGTGTTGAGAATTTAATAATCTTCTATATAATCATGGGCATAAACAAGAGAAAAGTGTATAATTTTCTAGTTATTCGCAAATAAAGTTTGTTTTCTTGCATAACTTGTTTGTCTGAATTTTCGGGGTGATTGGACTATTTTGCCTGCAGTGACAATGACCAGGTGAGAACTTCCTGTAACATTACTATAATACTTCAATAAAGAGGTGGTTTAGTTATGGCATGGGATTGTTATCTAACTGGCTGACCACAGAGTGACAGCGTAAATGATGAGCAGAAAAAAGTTATAGAAACAAAAATCTAAAAGGAAAAAAGATTGGCATCACACAGTGGTGGTCACTCTACAAATGACAACTACATCCTATATTTCTAATGTCTTCTCATGCTCAATTATTTTCTTAACTGTTAACTTCCTGGAAAAATCTCTACAAATTCTTCATTGAAAATATGATTCTTATACAAATTCTTCATTGAAAATATGATTTACTATGCTATCAAACCAAACAAAACCACAAAAATGAAAAATAGTTCAACATCCATTATATTCAAAGAAAAGGGATTAAAACTTTTTTTTAAAAATTCCATTTTAACAGTTTTGGTGAAACTTTATATGAAAAAAGTTCCATTTTAACCGTTTTAATGAAATCTTTCTAGAAAAAAATCTGGTACGCGCAACACACAACTTTCACTTACTGCTCTACTTTGGTTAGACATTATTTTCTCGCAATGTTGGGCTATTGTAAATTTTTTAAGTACATTTTTAATGGAGCTAATGCTTAAAGCTAACAAATCATTAACTCCATTAAAATAATAAACAATCTTATTACTCCATCTGTTTTATAAACCACACAACTCAAGTCTCTGAGCTATGCATATATGCCTAGAGATATTTAAAAGTATATCTGTATATTCAACCTATAA